AGAAACACATCATCATCGCCGATGGTGATGGTGGTGGTTCGTCTTCTTCCTCCCAGGAGGATCTCAAGAGTTGGGATGCTCAGTTTATGAATGATCTCGGCGAGCAAAAGATTTTTAATCTTATGTTGGCTGCTCATTTCCTCAACATCAAAACCCTTGTTGATCTCACTTGTCAGTTTGTCGCTGATACGATGATCAAAGGTAAAACTGTTGAGGAGATTCGTAGGAATTTAAACATCGAGAAAGATTACACATCCGAGGAAGAAGCTGAGCTTCGCCGAGAAAACGATTGGGCTTTTAAATGATCACTTTGGATGACTTGAGAACATGATTCATGATTATGTTTCTATTATTTTGTCCATTCCGAGTCGTGTGTCTTTGCTTTTATATTGTAAAACCTAATTGTTTGGTCTATAAAAAAAAAGTCTTGTTTTTTAAATCTATTTTTATTAATTTCAATAAGAGTTTTTTTTCATGTTCATCAAAATATAACAAAATATACAAACAATACGATGACAAAAGAAGATTAAGCTAAATCCCACGATCGATGCTTTTTACAACTCTAACTTGGAATAATAAATTTTATTTTTATTTGTTATAATCTCTTTCAAATTATGTTCATTGTAAACACAACATATTATTACTAATGACAGAAATACACATCCAATAGAAGCTTCCTCTGAAAATACAACACAAGAGATATCAACGTAGTCATTTAAAACATGTTCGAGGAAAATATATTCTTTTATGTTAAGGATGAATTGATAATATACATACTTTTCAATTTTTTACAGTATTCTATATTTGATATATTTTTACAGTTATGTAATTTATCACTAATATGTTTTAATTAATCTGAAGGTAAAGGATTGTGTAAGCATAAAAATACAAACAATACGATGACAAAAGAAGATTAAGCTAAATCCCCCCATCGATGCTTTTTACAACTCTAACTTGGAATAATAAATTTTCTTTTCTTTTGTTATAATCCCTTTCAAATTATGTTCATTTTGAACACAACATATTATTACTAATGACAGAAAAACACATCCAATAGAAGCTTCCTCTGAAAATACGACACAAGAGATATTAACGTAGTCATTTAAAACATGTTCTACGAAAATATATTCTTTTATGTTAAGGATGAATTGATAATATACATACTTTTAAATTCATTACAGTATTCCATATTTGATATATTTTTACAATTATGTAATTTATCACTAATATGTTTAAATTAATCTGAAGGTAAAGGGTCGTGTAAACATAGGAATATATTATAGATAATTTTAACCGTCAAATTAATCAAAAACCAATTAAATACATTACAATGTAGTAATATAAATCACTATAAACCTAACGAAAAATGATTACGGCTGCTATTAATTTTGGACACGAAAGTTGATAAAATTCTGATTACAACAATCCAATTTTTAGGACTCTTTCATCCATTAATTCCTGATTCACACGCGCTTTTGTACCAATTTGAGTTTTTTCTTTTTTATTTGTGAAAAGTCTTATTTTAATAAATTAAAGCGATCAAAACAAAGAGTTCAAGGCACTTTTTGCAACTGAATCGGCCACCAAATTAAATTCTAGGGATACAAGAAAAATAATCGACAATAAAGGATAGAATAAGGATTTCAAAGATGGTCCTGTGGAGCTTTGTCAAATGAGTCTCTGGATTTATAGCTCTGATCAACTGCTGTGCTTCCCATGAAATATGTAGTTTTTTTTTTAACTCTGCTACACTCTACATCCCATTAATAATCCGGGTGAATGTCACACCAATGCTCCTTCGGGGGGGATAATTACTTTAAATGAGCTATTGCGATCTGGAATTCTCTTTAAGATAAACAGAAGATTGGGTTTATTGATGGCTCGAGTCAAAAACCTGCCTCCAATCTCAACCTTGCCTGCTGGTCTGGTACAAATGACTATTGATCCTCATCTTTGTTCGACTGTTTCTCATGTTCTTGACACTTCTATACCCTAGGAATCCAACGTCGCTTTTCTGTCAAAAATGGTGCCCATAGGCATATGCTTGTAGACGAAATAATCAACTACAAATGACCAATCTGTTCTCAAATATTAAGGTTGTCTATCAGAGCTCTAAGAGGAATTGAAGACTTTTAAGTCATCTGTATCATGTACCTGCACTGCGTCTACTGATATCGAGAAAGAACGTAAAGATGCTAGATCACTAAGCTCTCTCTCGCCACTAGTCCTCTGTTTCACAATCTATAATTTTATAATTGTTTGGTTGGACGTCTTATCTATCTAACTTTTATTAGGCCAGACCTTTTTATGTGGTTCATACTCCACTGCAGGCTCATTGGAATACTTCCTTACACAATTCTTGTTACCTGAGGGGTTGTCCAAGACAAGGGATCTTCCTTTATGCAGATTCTGATATTCTCTTCTACGCCTACTGTAACACTGATTGGTGAGATTTTCCTTTAACATGTTGTTCACTCAGTGCTTAAATTGTTCTATTCTGTTCCCAATACATGTCCCCTGCTAAAACCGAATAGTGGTCTAGATCCTCAGTTTTGTCCCAGCTCAAATGGATCAAGCAAATATTTATTTCTTTTGAATTTCAACAAGATGAACCAATGGGGCTGTTTTGTGATAATAAATTGTTAATCCACATTCCAGCCGTTCGGTTGTCCATAAACACACAAAATTTATTGAATCTGATTGTCATTTTGTTCGCGATGTTGTTCAAAACAAGTTCATTGTCACCAAATATCATTCCACCAAGGAACAATCAACCGATCTTCATATTGAGGCTCTTCGAAGTCAACCATTGAATATTTACTTTCTAAATTAGGGATTCAAGATCCTTCAACCCTAATTTTGGAGGATATAGAGATAAAGGAATATAACACTAGAGATAAAATCATACTCATTTGGTCTTATTTCAAAAGATGTTCTAGATAATATAATTTGCTCTTTTTGTAAGATCTTTTAGAAGCTTCTATGTAAACTTTAATGTTAATTGATACTTTTAACTTTAAAAATTCTGCAATATTTTTTTATAATTACATGAATTACGTTTTTAACAAATTATTAAATAATGTTTTTAAACAAAAAGAATCTTAATCTTTGTGCTTTTATTTCCAACAACTTACATTTTTAAGTGTATACTATATTAAGTGTAATCTATTATGTATATACTTTATTGTATTCTCTTAGGTTTAGAATCTATATATATATATATATATATATTTATTTATTTATTTATTTATTTATATATATATATATTTATATAAATACCCACCTTGTGAATCAATAATACTCGTTCTTTTTAATTCATTACAATATTCCACATTTGATTTTTTTTATTTATAATTATGCAATATATCACAAATTTATTTTAATCAATTTGATAGTAAAAAAAAATTTTTTTTCCTTTGAATCGAGTCAATATAAAATATTTTATAGAAATTTTTGACCATCAAATGAATCAAAAAAAAGTAAATACAATACATAATAGAAATGTAAACTGCCATAGACGTAATAAAATTTTGAATACTGTTGCCATAAATTTAGACACAGAAGTTGATAGGTTTTGTATTTACAACATTCCAGTTCTCATGATACTTTCACCCATTAATTACGACTCCCATGCGTTTTTGTACCAGTTTGAGTTCCATTTTTGTGCAAAAACTGATTTCATTAAATTAAACTGGGAAAGAAATAGAGTTTAAGGCACTTTTTGTAAAGTGAGTCAGATAACAGATTGGTTTTTCGCTATACAGAAATAAAAGAGATTTCATCGAAACTAAGCGATATATTTAGGCTGTCATAGACGACCTCGTCGAACTCTGTCAAATAAGTCTCCGTATTTATAGTTCTGATCAAATGCTGTGATTCAAATGCGATGTAAAGATTTTTAAACCCTAGCATAAGGGCTTGGGTGATTGCATGGAATATTGCTGCAGTTTCTACATTATCACATAAGGGGTAGAGGTCTAAGGTATTGACTTTCGCAGCTCTTAGATTTTCTTTTAGAAGAATAGATTCATTCATAAAATTTTCCATAAGAAATTTTTTGATTTAGGTGATCATCCGATGTCTCAAATATTTGCTTTTCAGTTGAAGCCCCTCAGTACCTAGTTAATGATGATATCATGTGAAGTCTACTTGAAAGCCTCGTAGTATTCAGAGTAGGTTCTTGTATTTGACAGTAGTTAAGTCTAGGATTCGAGCACTCCCAATTTATTTTGTTTGATGGTGGTGATTTTCTAGTTAGAGTTCCTTCATTGGACAAAAATTAAGCATAACCATGTGGATGGTTTGAAGATTTATCTAATGCTAAGCGAATAAATAAATCAGATTATGTAAGATCAAGAAAAGTGAAGAATGAAAGTATTTTGAAAGCTAGATAAATATCTCATTTAACTTGTAAACATGCAACAAGCCTCAATATTTAGCCGTTAAGCATCTTAAAAGCTTCGCTGAAGTTACATAATAATCATTTTGATTTAAATACTAGCTCTAACCGGTGATCAAACTGATGAGAAGAAATATTAAGTATCTTTATCATCTCTTAAAACTTACTCTATTTTACAGGTACAATATAATGATATTTTTTTTATTCTTTATGTTTTAGGTAGTTATTATAAAATTAAAATATAACCTATCACATTAAGAATAAATAATAATTGTCATTCTTCTTTTTTGTTTCATTCTACTATTATTTAATTAATTTTTTCATAAACTGAAGATATCTTACACCGTGATTGATTTTTTTTTTAACCTCACACAGATTGTTCAAAGAAATCATAATAAAGAATTATATTTCCTTATAATCATTTTGGCCAAACACAAAATATGTTGATTTCCATAATCTTGTTCGAACTCTGAACATAAGTTCATAACCACCGGCACAAAATCCTATATATAGAGACACATAGGTTAATTACTTTGTATCAATTCTATAATCACTCCTAACCATTTTTCATCAATCTCCCCACTAATACAAAGAACTAACCATGTCGAAGAAGAATATTGTTTTAAAAAGCTCAGATGCCATGATCTTTGAGGTTGAAGAAGTGGTGGCCCTACAGTCGGAGACCATAGCCTACATGATTGAAGAAGACTGTGCCAGTAACACAATCCCTCTTGCCAACGTTACAGGCAATATCCTCGCTTTGGTGATCGAGTATTGGAAGAAACATGTCATCATCGCCGATGGTGATGGTGGTGGTTCGTCTTCTTCCTCCCAGGAGGATCTCAAGAGTTGGGATGCTCAGTTTATGAATGATCTCGACGAGCAAAAGATTTTTAATCTTATGTTGGCTGCTCATTTCCTCAACATCAAAACCCTTGTTGATCTCACTTGTCAGTTTGTCGTTGATACGATGATCAAATGTAAAACTGTTGAGGAGATTCGTAGGAATTTAAACATCGAGAAAGACTACACATCCGAGGAAGAAGCAGAGCTTCGCCGAGAAAACGAATGGGCTTTTAAATGATCACTTTGGATGACTTGAGAACATGATTTATGATTATGTTTTTATTGTTTTGTCCATTCCTAGTCGTGTGTGTTTGCTTTTATATTGTAAAACCTAATTGTTTGGTCTACAAAAAAAAACTCTTGTTTTTTAAATATGTTTTTATTAATTTTAATAAGAGTTTTTTTTCATGTTCATCAAAATATAACAAAATATAACAAAATATACAAACAATACGATGACAAAAGAAGATTAAGCTAAATCCCACGATCGATGCTTATTAAAACTCTAACTTGGAATAATAAATTTTATTTTCTTTTGTTATAATCCCTTTCAAATTATGTTCATTGTGAACACAATATATTATTATTGATGACATGCAGAAAAACACATCCAATAGAAGCTTCCTCTGAAAATACAACACAAGAGATATCAACGTAGTCATTTAAAAGATGTTCTAGAAAAATATATTCTTTTATGTTTAGGATCTATTGTGAATTGATAATATACATACTTTTCAATTCTTTACAGTATTCCATATTTGATATAATTTTACAATTATATAATTTATCACTAATATGTTTTAATTAGTCTGAAGGTAAAGGATCGTGTAAACGTAGGAATATATTATACATAATTTTAACCATCAAATTAATCAAAAACCAAATAAATACATTACAATGTAGTAATGTAAATCACTATAAACCTAACGAAACATGATTACGATTGCTATTAATTTTGGACATGAAAGTTGATAAATTTCTGATTACAACAATACAATTTTTATGACTCTTTCATCTATCAATTCCTGATTCACACGTGCTTTTGTACCAATTTGAGTTTCTTCTTTTTTATTTGTGAAAAGTTTTATTTCAATAAATTAAAGCGGTCAAAACAAAGAGTCCAAGGCACTTTTTGCAACTGAATCGGCCACCAAATTAACTTCTAGGGATACAAAAAAAAATCGACACTAAAGGATAGAATAAGGATTTCAAAGATGGTCTTGTGGAGCTTTGTCAAATGAGTCTCTGGATTTATAGCTCTGATCAACTGTTGTGCTTCTCATGGAATATGTAGTTTTTTTTTTAACTCTGCTACACTCTACATCCCAATAATAATCCGGGTGAACGTCACACCAATGCTCCTTCGGGGGGATAATTACTTTAAATGAGCTATTGCGATCTGGAATTCTCTTCAAGATAAACAGAAGATTGGGTTTATTGATGGCTCGAGTCAAAAACCTGCCTCCAATCTCAACCTTGCCTGCTGGACTGGTACAAATGACTATTGAACCTTATCTTTGTTCGACTGTTTCTCATGTTCTTGACACTTCTAAACTCTAGGAATCCAAAGTCGCTTTTCTGTCAAAAATGGTGCTCATAGGCATTTGCTTGAAGATGAAATCACCAACTACAAATGACCAATCTGTTCACAAAAATTATCGTTGTCTATCAAAGCCCCAAGAGGAACTGAAGACTTTTAAGTCATCTGTATCATGTACCAGCACTGCGTCTACTAAATCGAGAAAGAACATGAAGATGCTAGATCACTAAGCTCTCTCTCGCCACTAGTCCTCTGTTTCACAATCTATAATTTTATAATTGTTTGGTTGGACGTCTTATCTATCTAACTTTTATTAGGCCAGACCTTTTTATGTGGTTCATACTCCACTGCAGGCTCATTGGAATACTTCCTTACACAATTCTTGTTACCTGAGGGGTTGTCCAAGACAAGGGATCTTCCTTTATGCAGATTCTGATATTCTCTTCAACGCCTACTGTAACACTGATTGGTGAGATTTTCCTTTAACATGTTGTTCACTCAGTGCTTAAATTGTTCTATTCTGTTCCCAATACATGTCCCCTGCTAAAACCGAATAGTGGTCTAGATCCTCCGCTTTGTCCCAGCTCAAATGGATCAAGCAAATATTTATTTCTTTTGAATTTCAACAAGATGAACCAATGGGGCTGTTTTGTGATAATAAATTGTTAATCCACATTACAGCCGTTCGGTTTTCCATAAACACACTAAATTTATTGAATCTGATTGTCATTTTGTTCGCGATGTTGTTCAAAACAAGTTCATTGTCACCAAATATCATTCCACCAAAGAACAATCAACTGATCTTCGTATTGAGGCTCTTTGAAGTCAACCATTGAATATTTACATTCTAAATTAAGGATTAAAGATCATTCAACCCCAATTTTGGAGAATATAGAGATAGAGGAATCTAACACTAGAGATAAAATCATACTCATTTGGTCTTATTTCAAAAAATGTTCCAGATATTTTAATTTGCCGTTTTTGTAAGATCTTTTAGAAGCTTCTATGTAAACTTTAATATTAATTGATACTTTTAACCTTAAAAATTCTGCAATATTTTTAATGATTACATGAATTACGTTTTTAACAAATTATTAAATAATGATTTTAAACAAAAAAATCTTAATCTTTGTGTTTTTATTTCCAACATCTTACATTTTTAAGTGTATATCATATTTAGTGTAATCTATTATGTATATACTCTATTGTATTCTCTTACGTTTAGAATCTATATATATATATATATGGAATATATATATATATATATTTATTTATTTATATTTATATAAATACCCACCTTGTGAATCAATAATACTCGTTCTTTTTCATTCATTACAATATTCCATACTTAATTTTTTTATTTATAATTATGCAATATATCACGAATTTAATTTAATTAATTTGATAGTAAAAAAATATCTTTCTTTCCTTTTAATCGAATCAATATAAAATATTTTATAAAAATGTTTGACCATCAAATGAATAAAAAATAAATAAATACATTACATTATAGAAATGTAAACTGCCATAGACCTAATAAAAATTTGAATATTGTTGCCATAAATTTGGACGCAGAAATTAATAGGTTTTGCATTTACAATATTTAAGTTCGCATGACACTTTCACCCATTAATTACGACTCCCATACGTTTTTGTACCAGTTTGAGTTCTTTTTTTGTGCAAAAACTGATTTCATTAAATTAAACCGGGAAAGAAATGTAGTTTAAGGCACTTTTTGTAAAGTGAGTCAGATAACAGATTGGCTTTTCGCTATACAAAAACAAAAGAGATTTCATCGAAACTAAGAGATATATTTAGGCTATCATTGACGATCTCGTAGAACTCTGTCAAATAAGTCTCCGTATTTATAGGTCTGATCAAATGCTGTGATTCAAATGCGATGTAAAGATTTTTAAACCCTAGCATAAGGGCTTGGGTGATTGCATGGAATATTGCTGCAGTTTCTACATTATCACAGAAGAGGTAGAGGTCTAAGGTATTGACTGTCGCAGCTCTCAGATTTTCTTTTAGAAGAATAGATTCATTCATAAAATTTTCCATATGAAAATTTTTGATTTAGGTGAGCATCTGATGTCTCAAATATTTGCTTTTCAGTTGAAGCCCCATAGTACCTAGTTAATGATGATATCATGTGAATTCTATGTGAAAGCCTCATAGTTTCAGAGTAGGTTCTTGTATCTGACAGTAGTTAAGTCTAGGATTCGAATACTCCCAATTTATTTTGTTTGATGGTGGTGATTTTCTAGTTAGAGTTCCTTCATTGGACAAAACTTAAGCCTAACCATCTGGATGGTTTGAAGATATAAATTTGAATCTAATGCTAAGCGAAAAAATAAATCAGATTATGTAAGATCAAGAAAATTGAAGAAGGAAAGTATTTTGAAAGCTAGGTAAATATCTCGTTTAACTTGTAAACATGCAACATGCCTCAATATGTTGCCGTTAAGCATCTAAAAAGCTTCGCTGAAGTTACATAATGATCATTTTGATTTAAATACTGGTTCTAACCGGTGATCAAATTTATGAGAAGAAATATTAAGTATATTTATCATCTCTTAAAAATTACACTACTTTACAGGTACAATATAATGATTTTTTTTTATTCTTTATGTTTTAGGGAGTTATTATAAAATTAAAATATAACCCATCACATTTAAGAATAAATAATAACTATCATTCTTTTTTTTTGTTTCATTTTATTATTATCTAATTAATCTTCCCATAAACCGAAGATACCTTACAACATGATTGACTTTTTTTCAACCTCACACAGATTGTTCAAAGAAATCATAATAAAGAATTGTATTTTCTTATCATCTTTTTGGTCAAACACAAAATATGTTGATTTCCCTAATCTTGTTAGAACTCTGAACATAAGTTCATAACCACTGACACAAAATCCTATATATAGAGAGACACATAGGTTAATTACTTTGTATCAATTCTATAAACACTCCTAACCATTTTTCATCAATCTCCCCACTAATACAAAGATTAAACCATGTCAAAGAAGAATCTTGTTTTAAAAAGCGCAAATGGCATGATTTTTGAGGTTGAAGAACCGGTGGCCCTACAGTCTGAGACTATAGCCTACATGATTGAAGATGACTTTGCCAGCAACGTAATCCCTCTTGCCAACATCACAGGCGATATCCTCACTTTGGTGATTGAGTATTGCAAGAAACACGTCATCATCGCCAATGGTGATGGTGTGGTTCGTCTTCTTCCTCCCAGGAGGATCTCAAGAGTTAGGATGCTCAGTTTATGAATGATCTCGATGAGCAAAAGGTTTTTAATCTTATTTTGGCAGCTCATTTCCTCAACATCAAAACCCTTCTTGATCTCACTTGTCAGTTTGTCGCTGATACGATGATCAAAGGTAAAACTGTTGAGGAGATTCGTAGGAATTTAAACATCGAGAAGGATTACACATCCGAGGAAGAAGCAGAGCTTCGCCGAGAAAACGTATGGGCTTTTAAATGATCACTTTGGATTGCTTGAGATCAAGATTCATGATTATGTTTCTATTGTTTTGTCCTTTCCGAGTCGTATGTCTTTAATTTTATATTGTAAAACCTAATTGTTTGGTCTACAAAAAAAAGTCTTGTTTTTTAAATCTGTTTTTATTAATTTCAATAAGAGTTTTTTTTTATATTCATCAAAATATAACAAAATATACAAACAATACGATGACAAAAGAAGATTAAGCTGAATCTCATTATCGATGCTTTTTACAACTCTAACTTGGAATGATAATTTTATTTTCCTTTGTTATAATCCCTCTCAAATTATGTTCATTGTGAACACAATATATTATTACTGATGACAGAAAAACACATCTAATAGAAGTTTCCTCGGAAAATATAACAAAAGAGATATAAACGTACTCATTTTAAAAGATGTTCTAGGAAAATAATTTGTCTTATTTTATAAAATTTTATACAAGTTCCTATGGAAAATTTTATTTTATTTACTACGTTTTGAGTTTTAAAATTCTGCAATATTTATTATGATTAGTAAAATTATTTTTTTAACTAGTTATTAAATAGTGTTTAAAACAAAAATAAATCTTAATTTTCGTGTTTTTATTTGGAACATCTTATATGTTTTTAGAGTATAACATATTTGATATTATCTACTATGTATATACTTTATTATATTCTTTTATATTTAGGATCTATTGTGAATTGATAATATACATACATTTTAATTCTTTACAGTATTCTATATTTGATATGTTTTTACAATTATGTAATTTATCACTATGTTTTAATTAATCTGATGGTAAAAGACAGTGTAAACGTATTAATATATTATACATTATTTTAACCGTCACTATAAACCAAATAAATACATTAATCAAATACATTACAATGTAGTAATGTAAAACACTATAAACCTAACGAAAAATTATTATGGTCGCCATTAACTTTGGATTCAGAAGTTGATAAATTTCTGATTACAACAATCCAATTTTTAGGACACTTTCATCCATTAATTCCTGATTCACACGTGCTTTTGTACCAATTTGAGTTTTTTCTTTTTTATTTGTTAAAAGTCTTATTTCAATAAATTAAAGCGGCCAAAACAAAGAGTTCAAGGCACTTTTTGCAACTAAATCGGCCACCAAATTAACTTCTAGGGCTACAAAAAAAAAATCATCGACAATAAAGGATAGATTAAGGATTTCAAAGATGGTCATGTGGAGCTTTGTCAAATGAGTCTCTGGATTTATAGCTCTGATCAACTGCTATGTTTCCCATGCAATATGAAGTTTTTTTTTAAACTCTGCTACACTCTACATCCATTTAATAATCCGGGTGAATGTCACACCAATACTCCTTCGGGGGGATAATTACTCTAAATGAGCTATTGCGATTTGGAATTCTCTTTAAGATAAACAGAAGATTGGGTTTATTGATGGCTCAAGTCAAAAACCTGCCTCCAATCTCAACCTTGCCTGCTGGACTGGTACAAACGATTATCAATCCTCATCTTTGTTCGACTGTTTCTCATGTTCTTGACATTTCTAAACTCTAGGAATCCAACGTCGCTTTTTGTCAAAAAAAGGTGCCCATAGGCATCTGCTTGAAGATGAAATCACCAACTACACATGACCAATCCGTTCTCAAATATTTAGGTTGTCTATCAAAGCTCTAAGAGGAATTGAAGTTTTTTAAGTCATATGTATCATGTACCAGCACTGCATCTACTAATATCGAGAAAGAACATGAAGATGCTAGATCACTAAGCTCTCTCTCTCTCTCGCCACTAGTCCTCTGTTTCACAATCTATAATTTTATAATTGTTTAGTTGGACGTCTTATCTATCTAACTTTTATTAGGCCATACCATTTTATGTGGCTCATACTCCACTACAGGCTCATTGTAACACTGCCTTACACATTTCTTGTTGCTTATGGGGTTGTCCAAGACAAGGGATCTTCCTTTATGCAGATTCTGATATTCTCTTCTACGCCTACTGTAACACTGATTGGTGGGATTTTCCATTAACATGTTGTTCACTCAGTGCTTAAATTAATCTACTCTGTTCCTAATCCATGTCCTCTGCCAAAACCGGATAGTGGTCTAGGTCCTCTGCTTTGTCCTAGCTCAAATAGATCAAGCAAATATTTATTTCTTTTGGGTTTCAACAAGATGAACCAATGGGGCTGTTTTGTGATAATAAATTGTTAATCCATATTACTGCCGTTCGGTTTTCCATTAACACACTAAACTTATTGAATCTGATTGTCATTTTTTTGCGATGTTGTTCAAAACAAGTTCATTGTCACCAAACATCTTTCCACCAAAGAACAATCAACCGATCTTCGTATTAAGGCTCTTCGAAGTCAAACATTGGATATTAAATTTCTAAATTAGGAATTAAAGATCCTTTAACCCCAAATTGGAGGATATAGAGATAAAGGAAGATAACACTAGAGATAAAATCATACCCATTTGGTTTTATTTCAAAATATGTTCTAAGAAATATAATTTTTCGTTTTTTGTAAGATATTTTAAAAACTTCTCCGTAAACTTTAATGCTAATTGATACTTTTAACTTTTAAAATTCTGCAATATTTTTTTATGATTACATGAATTACGTTTTTAACTATATATTAAATAATGTTTTTAAACAAAAAGAATCTTAATCTTTGTGCATTTATTTCCAACATCTTACATTTTTAAGTGTATATCATATTTAGTGTAATCTATTATGTATATACTTTATTGCATTCTCTTAGGTTTAGAATCTCTCTCTCTCTCTCTCTCTCTCTCTCTATATATATATATATATATTTATAATACCCACTTTGTGAATGAATAATACTTGTACTTTTTAATTCATTACAATATTTCATATTTGATTTTTTATTTATAATTATGCAATATATCACGAATTTGTTTTATTTAATTTGATAGTAAAAAAACTCTCTCTTTTCTTTGAATCGAATCAATATAAAATATTTTATACAAATTTTGAATCATCAAATTAATCAAAAAAAGTAAATACATTACATAATAGAAATGTAAACTACTATAGACCTAATAAATATTTGAATACAGTTGCCATAAATCTTGACACAGAAATTGATAGGTTTTTCATTTACAACAATCCAGTTTTCACGACACTTTCACCCATTAATCACGGCTCACATGCGCTCTTGTACCAGTTTGAGTTCCTTTTTGTGTAAAATCTGATTTCATTAAATTAAACCGGGAAGAAAAAGAGTTTAAGGCACTTTTTGTAGAGTGAGTCAGATAACAGATTGGCTTTTCACCATACAAAAACAAAAGAGATTTCATCGTAACTAAGAGATATATTTAGGCTGTCATAGACGACCTCGTAGAACTCTGTCAAATAAGTCTTCGTATTTATAGGTCTGATCAAATGCTGTGATTCAAATGCGATGTAAAGATTTTTAAACCCTAGCATTAGGGCTTGGGTGATTGCATGGAATATTGTTGCAGTTTCTACATTATCACAGAAGAGGTAGAGGTCTAAGGTATTGACTGTCGCAGCTCTCAGATTTTCTTTTAGAAGAATAGCTTCATTCATAAAATTTTCCATATGAAAACTTTTGATTTAGGTGAGCATATGATGTCTCAAATATTTTCTTTTCAGTTGAAGCCCCTCACTACCTAGTTAATAATGATATCATGTGAAGTCTACTTGAAATTCTTATAGTATTTCAGAGTAGGTTCTTGTATCTGACAGTAGTTAAGTATAGGATTCGGGCACTCCCAATTTATTTGGTTTGATGGTGGTGATTTTCTAGTTAGAGTTCCTTCATTGGACAAAAAATAAGCCTAACCATGTGGATGGTTTGAAGATTTAAATTTGAATCTAATGCTAAGCGAAAAAATAAATCAGATTATGTAAGATCAAGAAAATTGAAGAAGGAAAGTATTTTGAAAGCTAGGTAAATATCTCTTTTAATTTGTAAACATGCAACAGGCCTCAATATTTAGCTGTTAAGCATTTAAAAGCTTCGCTGATGTTACATAATGATCTTTTTGATTTAAATACTGGATCTAACCGGTGATCAAATTGATGAGAAGAAATACTAAGTATCTTTATCATCTCATAAAAATTACACTATTTTACAGGTACAATATAATAATTTTTTTTATTTCTTTATGTTTAGGGAGTTATTATAAAATTAAAATATAACCTATCACATTTAAGAAGAAATAATAATTGTCATTCTTCTTTTTTGTTTTATTTTATTATTATTTAATTAATCTTCTCATAAACTGAAGATACCTTACAACGTGATTGACTTTTTTTCAACCTCACACAGATTGTTCAAAAAAATCATAATAAAGAATTATATTTCTTTATCATCTTTTGGTCAAACACAAAATATATTGATTTCCATAATCTTGTTCTGAACATTAGCTCATAACCACCGATTCAAAATCCTATATATAGAGAGACACATAGGTTAATTACTTTGTATCAACTTTATAATCACTCCTAACCATTTTTCATCAATCTCCCCACTAATACAAAGAACAAACCATCTCGAAGAAGAATATTGTTTTAAAAAGCTCAAATGGCATGATCTTTCAGGTTGAAGAAGCGGTGGTCCTAAAGTTAGAGACCATAGCCTACATGATTGAAGATGACTGTGCCAGTAACGCAATCCCTCTTGCCAACGTCACAGGCGATATCCTCGCTTTGGTGATCGAGTATTGCAAGAAACAAGTCGTCATCGTCAATGGTGATGGTGGTGGTTTGCCTTCTTCCTCCCAGGAGGATCTCAAGAGTTGGGATGCTCAGTTTATGAATGATCTCGACGAGCAAAAGATTTTTCATCTTATTTTGGCTGCCCATTTACTCAACATCAAAACATTTCTTGATCTCACTTGTGAGTTCATCGCTGATACGATGATCAAAGGTAAAACTGTTGAGGAGATTCATAGGAATTTAAACATCGAGAAGGATTACACATCCGAGGAAGAAGCAGCTTAGCC